GGGGGGGAAGGATGGGCCTCGAGGAGCAGCTCCCACCATGCCACCCAAAAACCATATCTTTTAAACTGCAGAGATGGTGACTGAAGGCACCAGAACAGCAGAGTTGCTGTGAAGGCAGACAGATGTGGCCGGGCAAGTGACGTTCTGTCTCTGGGTCTCTTTCTTCGGCTAGAGAGCGGCACCGCCTAGAGCTGCTCTCGATGCCCAGCGGGACCGTTCGGTGCTCGGGTGTAAGCCGAGCGGCTCTGTAATGTTCTGTTCTTCACTGCCTTTATCTGGTTTTGGAATCTCGGTCACACCAGCTTCCTAAAATTTTCTATTCTCTGGAACAACTTGTACAAGGTAGGAATTATCTGCTCCTTCACAGTTTGGTAGATCTCATTTGTAAAAGTGTTTGCATCAGAAGCTTTTTTTATTGCCCAGGTTTTTAAAACTTTTATTTATTTTTGTTTTTGGTTGTATGTGTATGTGTGGATTATTTTGGTCTTTTCTTGTTCTCTATTTCTTTTTCCCAGAAATGTACCCACTTCACCTAGGCCGCAAACACATCCCTATACAGCAATAGCTCCCTGCACTGTCATGTTTAAATCTGATTATCCATCTAGATCATATATGCACTTGGCATAGGCCCTGCCACAGACACACACTCTGATTAAGGCCAGGACTGTGGAGGGGAGGTCGCGTGACAGTGGAGGTGGTTTAAACTAACCCACGATCTCTCCACCCTCACCACTCACTTCCCACCAACACATCCAGGCTGAGGTCCCTGGTGACGATGTTGCCTGGCCACCTCTGGAGACGGAGGTTCACTCCCCGCTCTCCTACCTGCCACCCAGGAGGATGCTGCTGCCTCTGCCTACCTCTCACGGTGCTGGGGAGGATGGGAAGGAAAACCTGGCACGGCCTGAGATGCAGAAGCTGTGTTGTCGCCCCAGTCAACCGCATTCCTTCCCCATCACTGGCCTCAGCTTGGAGCGCAGCTCTGCTGATGGAGTATCTCTGAAGCGGGCAGCTCCAGTCAATCAGCCTCAGCCAGTCCACCTGCCCACTGACAAATCTGCCAAATGGCCAATTTACTAACATCAACTTGAGTATCAGTTCCTACCCACTGAACATGCTGGAGACAAAAAAACCTTTAAAAGTTTCCAGGAAATCGCAGACTTGGCAAATTGGTCTTCATGGCACATGGCCTCTGGCAAACTGGCTGCTTTCAGGGCTGGGGTTATCCACCCCCATCTGGGAAGCGGGTGGGCAGTTACTGGCTGCTTTGACATGAACTCCCCACGCACCCACACACACCACCCACAACGCTGGTCCTGCCTTGGCTGGAATCCTGGGTCAGCCAAGCCTCACTCTCTCCTCTCCAGACCCCCTCCCCTGAAGCCCCAGCCCAAGACAGCCTGGCAGGGGCCTTCACACACCACACACACACAAAACAAGAAAATGGTTTAATTGCAAAACTAACTTGAGGGAGGGGAGCAGGGCTACGCTGACAGGGCAGGAACCTGATCCTTCAGGCAGTGGTTCTGTCCCTGGTGCTACCCCGCAGGACAGGGATCAACTGTCCCCGGGTGGGGGGACGGGCTAGTGTTATAAAATGACAATATAAATAGACTTCTAAAAAAGGAGGCTGTCCAGGTGCAGTAGTCATTTGCTGCAGAGGCTGGGGTGGGTGGGAGGCCCCGACTCTTGTGTCCCCATCCAGCCACAGGAAGGGTGTGCAGGGCTACGGGAAAAGGCCACTCTTCAGACATTCATGATCGACCCCCACAATGGCTCAGGGGGGACGAGGCTGTAGGTCAGGCAAGGTCTCAGAGACACTCACTTGCAGTCTGGAGGACAGAGGAGCAGGACCTTCGGGGCGCACACACGCACACACACACACACCTATCTCATAGTGTTCTCTCCACCCCCAGCGACCCCCGCCACGGATTTCCAGTGATGGGAGGGCCGCCTGTCCTTCCTGGAGACGGGGGAACACAGGGGAGGGCCTGTCCCGGGGAACAGAAAGGTCCTGGGAACCTCACTCACTCCCACGAGTCCCTGTGTCCCCGCCACGGATTTCCAGTGATGGGAGGGCCGCCTGTCCTTCCTGGAGACAGGGGAACACAGGGGAGGGCCTGTCCCGGGGAATAGAAAGGTCCTGGGAACCTCACTCACTCCCACGAGTCCCTGTGTTTTTTTTTAAAAAGTCACAAAATCAAAACCGGAGTTCAGTAGTAGGATCCCATGTACCCCTCCCCGCCCAAGCAAGGAGAGTGGTGCCACATGGAGTGTGAACCTCACTCACTCCCACGAGTCCCTGTGTTTTTTTTTAAAAAGTCACAAAATCAAAACCGGAGTTCAGTAGTAGGATCCCATGTACCCCTCCCCGCCCAAGCAAGGAGAGTGGTGCCACATGGAGTGTCTCCTGGGCTGGGAGGAGAGGGGAGGCTGGCCCATACTGGCCTCCGGCAGGGCAGGGACGACCCAAGGGGCTCTTTGGTTCAGGGACAGGGCGCTGGACCTCATCTGGTGCGGTTCTGGCGCATGAGGGGCACGATGCTGGCGGGCGGCCCCGCCTTGGCCAGGAATGGGTGCTTCAGCAGCTCAGCCGCTGTTGCCCGCTGGGCTGGGTCACGCACCAGCAGACGGTCCAGGAAGCCCTTCAGGGATGGCGACACCTGTGGGGGAGGGTTGGGGGGAGAGGGTCGATGGCGCTGGGTCTGAGTGCCAGCTCCACTGCTTACTTGCTGCAGGGCCACAATTTCCTCCTCTGTCAAATGGGCTGATGGCACCTACTCTCAGGGAAGGGCACAGAGGTCACGGGTGTCTGGAGCCTGACCCCAGGGGTAGCAACAAACTCAAAGGCCCCAGGACTCCTTTACTCCCCACTTTCGTGGTTAGGCAAGGAGCTGGCAGCAGCTGGGCCCTAGAGACACCTTTCCCACCAGGGAATTCCTCCACCAGGAAGACCCAGTTCCTGTCCCTGCACTGTGCGTTCAGCCAACCAGCCTAGGCACACCTTTGTGGGCTGGTGAGGGCACAGGGAACCCCGGGGGCTTGGCCGTCTCTGCTGCTTAGTCCCCATATGGGCCTGTTTGCACAGATGCAAGGCCCAGGGCAGCAAGGGCCGGGCACACTGTAAGTGCCATCCATGCCCCAGTCCCATCCACACCCAGCTCTGCCCAGGTGCATTGTCTCCCTGCTGGTGAGAGGCCCACCTTGTGCAGGTTCTTCAGTCGGGGTGGCAGGTTGTCCCGAATCATCTTCATGGCTTTGAGGGGTGGCTCATTGAAGTAGGGGGGCTCTCCATCCACCATTTCAATCACCATTACCCCCAGTGACCAGATGTCCACCTGGGGTGGGGGAAGGGACGGTACAACTTAGTGAAAGGCGGCCAGTCCTCAGGGAAGCCCCAAGAGGGGATGGCCCCCAGTTCTGCCTTTGCCTCTTTGCTCCTGGCATCCCTGAGCCCAGAACACCCTCTTGGATGCCCAACCAGACAGCCCCCACGTACTCATCCTCCAGGGAGTCCTCTGAATGGTGCCCCCCAGCATCCCTCCCCTTTCCTTTGGCTAATCACACCCAGGTTTCCCTCCCATCCTCCCTTAGTCCCTGCTGTGTCCAGCGGTAGGTCCATGACCCAGGCTGCTGCACTGGCACAGCCAGGGCACAATGACTGGTTAAGGAATTGGCCAAGCTGAGCCAACCAGAGCCAACCCAGAGACCTTAGCCCAAATCCAGGAACACTGCGAAGCTCGTAAGTGGGGAGATGTGTCCCAGAGTTGCCACAGGGAGTCTCTGCTCCCACAAGAGGACAGCCCGCCTGAGTGAAGATGGCACTGAGAAAATCAGGGCTGGGGAGGGTCAGAGCATATGGACAGCTGTGCCTGAAGCCTGTCCACCCCAAAGTTCACAGTTCTGGAGACCAACAGCTTTCATGTTTGTTAAATCCATCTGCTCCCAGTGCCACCCTGCTCCAGCCTGAAGTCCCTCATGATGTGCTTCCCAGGGCGCCTTTCTCATCACCAGGTACTGGGTCAAGTCTTGCTGACTGACCTCAGCAAGGAATCCTCAGGGCCACAGACCACAGCTCTAAGGGCAAGGCAGGTGACGTCAGTGAGTGAAGCAGGTCAGGGTAGGCAACTAGGACGGGTAGGGACAGTGGCTAAACAAAGGCACCTGTCCTTTGAAAAGGGGAGCAGCCCCTTAGCACCACCAATTGTTGCCATGTGGGAATCTGGACACCATGCATTTAGATCTCCTGGCTTTCCAACGAAGGATGGAAATTCTGACTTTGATGTGTCAGCTCTTATTTTAAAGTGTTTGCAAGAGCGTCTTCAGACCACACCAGCTGGAAGCCTGCCAATGTTTGGCCTTTGCACCAGGCTGTGAAGCAGGGCCCCTGGCCACTTCTGCTCAGCATTTTGTTCCCACTAACAAGCACTGGGCCTGGCTCAGAATTAGTATTTAATCAATAATGAAGGAATGGGGCTGGCTGGTTAGTTTACTTGGGAGATCACGGTGCTAGTAATGGCAAGGGTCATGGGTTCGGATTTCCTTACCGGCCAGCTGCCAAAATACAAAACCAAAATAATGAAGGAATGAATGAGTACATGCATACCTACCTCCTCTGCCATGACATCACCCCTGGCGACCCATTCCCCAGACGGAGCCCCACCTCACCCCCAGTACTCAGGTGTTTCTGGACTGTTACAACATAAACGCATGCTGACAGTGGACAAGCGGGCCACCCCTGGGCTCACCTCTGGCCCATAGGGAAGACGGGAAATGAGTTCCGGGGCCATCCAGTAGGGCGTGCCAACCAGTGACTTCCTCCGTGGCACCTCCTTGCTCACCTGGGCACAGAACCCAAAGTCTGACAGCTTCACCTGGGACAGGGCAGGCAGGGTCAGTGGTGCTAGAACAGGGGGAGGGCAGCAGAGGCATCCACCTACTTAATTCCTTGGCCTTGGACACAGTCACGCTGGCTCCATTAGGCAGCCTGGAGGTTAAAGCTGGACTCCAGAGCCAGAGCTTGCCACTTCCTGGTGGGGGCACCCTCAGGCACGTCACCTCCCCCAGGATCACACAATCTACCCTCCTGACAGGCTCTGGGGGGAGCTACCAGGTTCCCTGGGGCTCTGGAGGAAGTGATCTGAGTCCTGCAGATACAAAGGCTGGGTGGGAGCTGAGACCAGTCTGGCTCTGACAAGACAGTGCCCTGGGTCCTGCTTCTCTGGAAGAAGCAAGACTTCAGGTCACAGGTTTGAGAGCAACATTGGAGACATTAGATGCCCCTCTACCTGGGAGACGTGAGATGTTCCGCAACAACCAAGTCCCCAGGACCAAGGTGGGACCCTTTCAGACCCTTGAGGATATCCATGGATCTTCTCGCCCCAGAAAACATATCCACATGGCATACATACCATTTTAGGTAACTCACAGATGTTCGCCCAGAACACATCTGGAGACCTTACATTTTCACACTCTCAGTGAAAAACAGCTCTCTCTACCTCTGCCTCTATTGACTGATGGGGCTTAACTTTCCTTGGGGGCGGGGATGGGATTACCAACTTCTATAAGAATTTGGTGAAAGCCAAAGGCCCTCTCCCACAGAAAATCATGTTCCCCTTGGATGACAAGTGCAAGTTCTGGGCACTGTAAGGCTCACCCATGGCCCCAGATTCAGAACCTTAGTCTAAAATACGGGTGACAGGACTAGGGGCCAAGCCTACCCCCAGGTGCTCAGCTGGAAGTCAGTTTTCAGCGCAGGCGGAAGCACATGGCTGAGGGCTGTGGCTGTCTGCCAAATCCGTCCCTCTGGCCCAGGGCCGTACAGTTCCCAGCGTTCTGTGCTGAAGGCAGAGCCCCGCCAGCCTGGGCCTCCCACCGACCTGGACCTCTGGCTGACTGTCCCATGAGGAACAGATGAACTTCCTGCTCCTCAAGCCACTGCACTGGGGGTCAGAGCCCACCCTAACAGCAGAGGAAACTGGGGGGAACTTGGCAGGAAGCCCAGGCACCCCGGCCACCCGCCTCCTCACCCTGCCATCATGGGTCAGCAGGATTGAGTCACTCTTGATGTCCCGGTGGATGACACCCTGGGCGTGGAGCACAGACAAGGCCTGCAGCACGGCCAGGCACACGGCAGCAATCTGCTCCTCGTTCATCCTGTATGGGGTGGTGGTAAGCAGCTGGGCACACAGGGCCCCCACCCCAGGGGTGTGAGGGGGCGCAGCCCTTCCTCGGGATGGGGGTGTGGACAGACCTCCCTTGAGGGAGAAGGAATCTAAGAAGACATGGCCCAATCCTGGGGGCCTACGGAGGACACAGCACTGCTGGCTTTGAGGACACGGCCCTACCCCAAGTGGTCTGAAGGGGACTTAGTCCTAGCACAGGAGAGGTCTGAGGGGAGCCAGCTCCATCCTAGGGAGCCTGGGGAGTCAGCAGCCTGGGTGCAGCTTCCTGGCAGTACCTGGTATGGGTGACGATGTCGGTGAGGGCACCTCCCTCCAGGAACTCCATCACCACCCAGAGCTCATCTCCCACCAGGTAGCTGTTGTACATCTCCACCACGTTCTCGTGCTGGTAGTCCCGCATGATCACCACCTAGGCCCAGGAGGCTGAGTCAGCAGAGGGAGCCAGGAAGGAGGGAGGACCACCAAGCCCCTGCCTTCAGACCCAGCTACAACCACCCACCCCCCTACCTCCCTCTCCAGCCCAGGCTGGTTCAACCTCTCACTTTTGCTCATCAGGGTCCCCCTGAACTGCCCACCCCTACTGCCAAAGCCACTCGACCTCGAAACCAGCTTGAGGCCTGACGCCCCCATCCTGGGGGTGCACCCTACCCCATGCACACACCAGTCTCTGACTAGTCCTGGGCTAGTCTCTGAGCAGCCCTGATGACCAGGCTGGTTTGGGGGAGGGCCAAAGCCACTCGACCTCGAAACCAGCTTGAGGCCTGACGCCCCCATCCTGGGGGTGCACCCCACCCCATGCACACACCAGTCTCTGACTAGTCCTGGGCTAGTCTCTGAGCAGCCCTGATGACCAGGCTGGTTTGGGGGAGGGAGGTAGAAAGAGTGTGTCCAAGCACAGGCGAGATAAAAAGGACAAGCAGGTATTAGGCAAGGTTAAAATAAAAGGTGTGTGTGTGTTGGAGGAAGGATGAAGAGTTCCAGGCGCAAAAGGTCCAGCAAGGGAAAGGCCTGAAGCAGGGCTGGGTGGGGAGGTGGGGCAGCAGGGGACCAGGTGAAGCAGAAGTTCATGGTATAGGGAGCACTATGACACGAGGTGGGGGAGGCGGGGCTGAAGAAGAGAGGGAGCACCGAGAGACAGGGAGGCAGGAGCGGGCACCTGGGTGACCTCCAGGCCTGACATCCTCCAGGGACTCCCGCATCAGAGTGGGCGTGGGGCAGCGTGGGCTGCTCACACAGATTCCTCTTGGGGAAGGAGCCAGGAATCTGCCTTTGTAATCGTAATGAGTTCCCCAGCAAAGAGGCCACCAAGAGCCAAGGCCAGAAGCTGGATAAACCCAAGTGCCTAGAAGGGGGCCAGGTCAACAACGGCTTCAAATGCCTGGCAAAGGGGCCAGGACTTTATCCTGAGGGCATGGGGCGGTGGAGGACGGCAAGGGTCTGTAAAGTGTGAGAGTGGCCACGGCAGGCCTGCCTGTCAGAAAGACCCCC